TTTGCGGCAAGCACTAATTTGTTTTTTGTGACTTTTCTCAAATAGGAACATATAGTATGTATTCTTTATGTCTGACTGCTTTCATTCAACTTGATGTTTTTGAGATTCATCGTTGTTGCATTAGTAGTTTGTTCCTTTTTGTTGCCAAGTGGTATTCCATTAACGAATATACCATAACTTGTTCATCCATTCTCTTGATGGGCATTTGCGTTGTTTCCAGTTTTTGGCTATTAAGAATAAAGCTTCAGTGAACACTTGTGTAAAAGTCTTTGCGTGGTGTGTTTTTACTTCTTTTGGGTAAAACGTAAGAGTGGAATTGCTGGGTCATACAGTAAATGTAGTTTATAAGAACTGCCAAACGGTGTTACAAAGTGGTTTGACCGTTTTACATTCCCACCAGCAATGTATGAAAGTTCCAGGCTCCCCATCTTTCTGGCCTGAATTTTTAAATGTATATTCTTTCATTTTGTCATCAACTATAATTTTATACTTGTGGAGGAAGGTGTTTCTTGCTTGGTCATTTTTATCCTTGGCCCTCACGTGTTGAAATCTATTCTGGACTCCTTGTTCTTGTTTAAAAACTGTTACTCAAATATGGACACAGTTGGTGTTTATTTCAGTATTAGGTTTCTTTCTTTCGTGTTCTGATTTTCTCACATACTAGCAGAGGACTGGTGCAGCAGCAAAGGTTTAAAGTTTTGAACCTTGACTTTACCTGAGCCTTTTTTTCTGTCTGGTGTCTGGCTTTGGGCCAGTCTCTTAGGCTCATTCAACAGTGGCTTCTCCTTTTTTAATCTGCGAATTATGCTAGCTTTTAAAATCATTTGAGACTTTCAAAACATTCATATTTGAGAAACAGAAATAATTGATTGTAACTGTGTGAGGCAATATCATGTTACAGACAAATGCTGTTTAGAAATGGCAGGACCTTCAAGTAAAACTGAGGTTTGGCAGAAACCCGGGTAGCACCTTCCCACCTGCTTTTCCCTCCCCTCTTTGTTCCCTTTCATCTCCTATAGTTTCACATTTCCTTTTATACCCCAGGCCTCTATCATTCCCTGGCCCCTAAAATGATTCAGGCTAAAGGAGGAGGTGGAAGGAACCCACTTTGGGTTTTTTGTTTTTTAAGTTTTTGTTTTGTTTTTTATTTTTCTTTCAAGCCATGGAACTTGGGCCCTGATTATACCAGCTGAGCTTTTGAACTGATGAAGTGTGCTACCCTGACAAAACATTTGAAGGGTAACTGGGACCTGCATTGGCTTCTGTTCATATTTCGTCATAGGAAAACTAGAGCCAGGTCAGTTTTATTTCAGCAGCTTTATGAGTGTGTTCTCTCCAGCTAATACCAGAGGATTAGTGTAGATAAATGAATATCCAAGGTAGGACCTGAAGTGGCAGGAGTCAGGAAGTTCTCAGATCATGAATTTAGGGGCTAAGGATGCTCTGGTCACCACTGGGACAGTTGTAGCCTGCATTTGTAGAGTAGCATGTGACAGAGAAACAGATCAGAAGAAAAGTAGGTCACTTCCTGCCTTTTCCCTTTGTGTTCGGTTACCATCTCATGGAACTGAGAATTGGGGTGTGTGTAGGTGTGTGTAGGTGTGCGTGCCTGCGCTCTTGTTCGTCCTTAGTGGTCAACTACCTGGCCTCATTGGCCCACAGTAGTGTTTCATCTGTTATGTATTAGCCTGTCCCACTTCCTCCGAGAGGGTCAGCTCCGGTGTGTGGCCCTCGGAGGCCTGGCCAGTACCTAGCGCTCTCTTGTCACTGGTGAAGTAGTGGTTGCCTCAAATTAAAAGGAGGCCTTGATCCATGATGTGAGAGTAATTTCTATCCTAATAAAATGACAACACTGATACCAGCATTTTATTAGGGACAAGAGAAGGGAAGAGAAATAAATGGTCAAAAATGAGAGAATTTCTAAAACTATTTTTATATTGCTATTCATTTAAAAAAAAATTTAATGATTGCCTGGGATGAGAGACCGAGGAAAGTAGGAGACATTGTGACCTGGTGAGTAGAAAACTGACTAGGGAGCCTGAGACACTGCCTCCAGCTCACGGGCACAGTCTTCTCTTCTCCAGACTTTGGTTTCTTCATCTGTAAGATGGTTTCAGCTGGTCAAGTGCTTTCCAAACCTGGCTGTACATCAGAATCACACGGGGAACTTGTTAACTGTACTCCCTGGGGAGCCTGATTCAGTGTAGGGGCCAGAGAAAGTGCATTTTACAGCCTCTTCCAGTTGATTGTGACAGCCAGCCAGCCATTGGGCCTCTGAGGTCTCATCCAGTAGACTGTGACCAAGTGAGAAGAAGGAGTGGATTAAACGGAGCGAGAGTGAGAAGTTGGACACATCTTGTGGCCTTACCAGGCTGAAGGCGAGGAAGAGACAGGACTCTCTCTCCCCAGAACTTAGCTCATATTCCAACTGCTGGGTCAGCACCTGGACCCAGAATGCCAGGTTGACATTCTCATACTTCCGATGTCTAAAACCAAGCTCCTGATTTCTTTCTCCAAAGCCCACTCAGCTGACTCCATCCTTTCAGTTGCTTAGGCCAGGAATCTTGGAGTCATCCTTGACTCTTCCCTTTTCTCACAGCCCACATTTAATCCATCGTTAAATCTTGGTTTTACCTTGAAAATATACCCAGAAACCCACCACTTCTACCATTTCCTCCATTGCCGGCAGTTGGTCTAAGCCGTCATCTGCTGCCTGGATTATTTCAGTAGCAGTGTGGCTGATCTGCTTCCTTCCAACCCAGCAGCCAGGGTGGACTTTTAAAATGGAGGTCAGATCATGTCACTCCTCTGCTTAAAACCCTTTGGTAGCCTTTCTTTCTAGTCCCCAGCACAAGGGGTAGGGTGCAAATGGGGTCCTTCAGCAGCCTCCTGCTGAGAAAGTGAGTCAGGGCTGGCTCCTCTGGCGCTTCTCTCTCCTTTTGCTGCAGTAGCAACTGGGGCAGGAGGAGGAATCTGGGTTGACTTTTTTGCTAGTTCCTTTGTTCATTTGCCAGTTCTGGACTCTGAGACATACAGGGAAGAATGAGATAACAAGTCCAGACTGGGAAGTGCTTTGAGTCTTGGGGGTGAGAGGTACGATGGGATATTTGGTGGTTTTTTTCTGAGGAGCTTCCAGTCATGTCAGCCTGGTTTGGAGACCAGCTGCTGCTCACATAGACATCTCCAGATTTTAAGCCAGTATTTGAACAGGTATGGGGCTGAGAACTCGCCTGGGCTTGAGGGGGAGGCTTTTTATATGACAGGAAAGAATCTTTTAATTCAGAACCAAAACAGTTACTAGCATGTTAAGTGGTGCTTGGAAAGACAGAAATACATCCACAGCTCCAAGAGATGATAGGTTTATGGAAGTGTCAGAAGTTCCTCAGTGATAGCCCTCCTTCAGTGATCTCTTGGTGGCTGTGGTCCCACTTCCCTGGCAGATGTCCAGCTCTGATATCTTTCTAGCTCCCCCATCCAGCACATATATGTTTCCTGCTTTGCAGAAGCCATTTGCACACCTACAATATGCCCACTTCTCTGTCAGTTTACTTGTTGTCTTTATCCTTGAAGGCCACTTGCCCCTGGGAATGTTTTTCATGAAACCTCTTGTGATTGAGTACTCATGTCAATCACAAGAGCTTGTTGTATGATATCTATGCTTTTTTTTTGATTTGTCTATTTTAGTCTCCCCAACTTTAGCCTTTTCAGCAAGATCTTAGGTCGCTGGAGAACAGTCTTTGCCTTCTCTTTTCTTGGCTCTTCCATTTGCTGGATAGTGAGCCTTCAGTCAGGCAGAGTGGTGCCTGGCCAAGCCATTCTACCTTTGGGTGCTGATCACCCAGGGTGGCTTCCCAGGACACTGTGTTGTTGTTACGTGCCATGAGCTTGGCTCCTTCTCAAAGTGACCTTAAGTCTAACAGAATGAAACATCACCTAGTCTTTCTCCACCTTCATAATTTTTGGTATTTTTGAGCTCATTTTTGCAGGATGTGGTAGTCTGGCCTAAGTTAATTGACTTTCTACAGCATAGAAAAGAGCAGTGTGAACTAGGCTGTCTTGCTGTTTTAGAAGATGCCATAAAACTTTCAGGTAAAGATACTTTATCTTGATGTTTATTTTAGGAAATCAGTCTTTAGTCAACCAGTGTGTCCTTTTGCCATTTGTGTATATGATATGATAGGAACCAGCCTACTGAGCCCCTGGGGGCAGGGTTATCGGCCTGGCCCTTTTTTTTTTTTTTTTTTTTTCTTTTTTAAGTTGCATTAGGTCTGTTACCTTGCTGTATTTTCAAAAAGATGACTTGCCTTCCTTTCTGCTGGGCCATGAGAAGAAGAGCTCCTTTCGTCTTGAAGGCTGACCTTGTGGCTTGTGACATTTCATCTCTGCACCAGTGCCACTATTGGTCCCCTCTTAATCTTTCTTTGTCATACCCCAGTCATCACCTTCAGGACTTAGTGCTAGCTTGTCTAAGTATGGGCTGTAGGGCATTCTCCTGGGTTTTGGTCTCTGTTTTCCTGACCCTTCTGATTGGTCTGAGTCCCTCCACACCTCCTTGGGTTTCTGTGTTTGTTTCTCAGGCAGTCTAATTGACCAGGCATTTTCTTCCCCAGTGTGATTTCACTGGAATGCTGTGAAGACCACATCCTCTGTACACTTGTACACACACAGCTGAAATGTAAGCTGCATAAGGACAGGGATTTTCTCTCCTTGTCTGTTGTTCATTGATGTGCCTCAGTGTTGAGGACATTGAGGTATCTGTCACATAGTAGGCACCCCACAGATAGTTGCTGAATAAATGAATGTTCTTGATGCCTGGCAGTTGTGCTCTGGGGGACTGAGACAAGCCCATCAGCCCAGCTCCCGGGCAGCTCACGGCTCCAGGAGCAAACTGTTCCTTGTACTCACTCTCCTACTCCTGGCAGAAGAGGAGGTATAGGGGACATCTAAAAGCCAAAGCCCTCTGCACACTTGAGCTCACAGCCAGCTCTTCTTTCTTGCAGGGGGAATTAATCACCTTCTACTACTACTGGAAGAAAACCCCTGAAGCAGCCAGTTCCCGGGCCCATCGCCGGCACCGTAGGCAGGCCGTGTTCAGGAGGATTAAGACCCGCACAGCGTCCACACCTGTCAACACGCCCTCCAGGCCCCCCTCTAGTGAATTCTGTAAGTGATGGCAAGGTCTCGACAATACAGTGGGTGGTGGGAGACTTTTCATACATAGCTACACGCAGGGGTCCATGCCCTGTGCCAGCATGCAAGGGAGGCCTCACGATGCCGCCCTTTGCAGAGGACTTGGGTTTGGAGTTGATGGCCCAGGGAATCAGTGCATGTGTTATGCTTGTATGCACATGTGCATATGTGTGTGAAGCATGACCTAAATATAGCACTGACTCGGGGGACCAGTAGGGAGAGTTTTTGTAATTACTGGTGCGTTTTAATTTTTCTAGTAAGTCCAACATCATTTTAATTTTTTACAGAAGTTTTTAAGTCTTGACCTTGGCCTGAGGCATTTTTGGTACCTAAAGAGGAGATTTTTCTAGTAGATGATGTACTGTTTGAGTTCTTATTGTAGTTTTGTTTAGATAGTAATATGGTCAGATTAATATTTTCTTTTTTCCTCTGAGAAGAAATGTGCGTTCTAACATCCTCTTCTTGGTCCCAATCTGAAATGTGATCCAAGATGACAGTGAGGCCCACACATGACTCCTCCTCACACCCTGGAAAACTGGACCGTAGGGATAGTGCCTTGTACTCTGTTAGGCCCAGGCCCTGCACTTAAGGTCGCTGGTGTGGCACATGCAAACAGCCAGAAGTTCTGATCGCAGGGCATGGCTCAGTGGAGACGGAATTCTGCAGGATGCCTGGGCAAGGCAGGAAGGCATCATGGGTGTACTTTCCCAAATCAAATCCAGCCAGTTGTGGGCATCCATGCTGGCTGCCCCAAGATGCAGGTGTGGTGACATTAGCCCCCAAAATCTGCCAGGGCAAGCCCTTGAGTTCTGCCCCTCACACACAAACTCTTCGTTATACTGACCGACTCTCAGGAATTCATAGTGGTCCTTCATGAATTCTGCTTGCCTCTCAGTGTGTTCACTTTGACTTAGAGCTAGGGCGGGCCAGAGGTCATAGGGTGGCCCTGGGTCTCAACTGATCCTAATGTTCCCTCCCCTACCCCGTGTGTGCCCGCTGTGCCAGTGGACCTGAGTTCAGCCAGCGAGGATGACTTTGACAGTGAGGACAGTGAGCAGGAGCTGAAGGGATACGCCTGCCGCCACTGCTTCACCACCAGTGAGTGCTTCATCTACAGGGCAGGGGGTGAGGGGGACCTTCCAGGTTCTGAACGTTTGCATTATACTTCGGGGCCGAGAAGGTTGAAAATCTTTACTTCACTCCCCTGTTTAGCAGTTAGCATCGGGTACTGGCCAGTGGGTATGAAGGACTTACTCAAGTTTGGGGGCTTGGGGTTCCTGGGAGTCTGCTACCGGTTCCTCCTGAGTACCCAGTGATGAGGCAGGGCAACAAACGGGTGTTCCTGAAACCTGTCCAGACCCAGGAGAGAGCAGGGCAGCCCTGGTGTTTGTGTTGTCTGAGTAACAGGTGTCTGTCCAGCCCAGTGCTGCATTGTTCTCATGGCATCATCATTGGGTTGAGCTCCCACAGAAGGGCTCCTCCCTGCTCAGACGTCCCCAAGGAGACACCCCACCCTACCTGTCCTCTCACACAGCCTCCAAAGACTGGCACCACGGGGGCCGGGAGAACATCCTGCTCTGCACGGACTGCCGCATCCACTTCAAGAAGTACGGCGAGCTCCCCCCCATCGAGAAGCCAGTGGACCCCCCACCGTTTATGTTCAAGCCTGTCAAAGAGGAGGATGATGGGCTCAGCGGGAAGCATAGCATGAGGACGCGCCGGAGTCGTGGCTCGGTGAGTCTCCCACGCACCCCCCCCCCCACCCCTCCAACCATGGGGCTCTGACGCGTCTCCAGCTCAGGAGGGTGCTCGAGGTCTGTGCCCACCAGAAGAGGAAGTAGTGTGTTTTATTTTAGGCAGAGAAACAGGCCCCTTGAAGTGACAGTATTTGCCCAAAGGTATTAGCTTCGTGTGTGGAGCTGGGGAGAGCGCTCAGTTCTCTCCTTCTCCAGTCTTCTTTGGGAGCTGAGCTGGAGGCGTACATCCTGAGCTGGGTCTCTGGCTCAGGGCAGTCTCTCCCAGCCCCTCACCCACCCTCTGTCCCGAGCGCCACTCACCTCCGGTGTGGTACATCTTTGCTATTTTAATCTCGCAGATTCTTTTGTTTTTTTTTTTTTTTCCTGTAAATATGACCTTGTTTGGAAATAGGGGTTTTCTCTTTTTATTTTAATGAAGTCATACCAGCGTAGGGTGGGTCTTTTTTTTTTTTTTTTTTTTTTTTTTTAATTTTAAACTTGTGGTACATTTTTCTACTTACTCATGGCCCCTTCCATAAAGAGACTTTGTTTCTCAGGTCAGAAATGTGGCAAGACCTTGGGGAGAGAGGCTTCTTCAAGGTCCATCTCTCTAGCACTGGCCCCCCCAGGGCTCCTCTGACAGGTGGGTGGGACTGCCCACCTTCCTTGGACCCTGGTGTCCCATCGCGGCTGCTGTCACCCGGCAGCCTGGCTGCTGCTTGTCCAGTAGGGGCTGGTGAGTCTGCCTTCAGCATTGTGCCATAGTCTCTGTGCCGTTGAGGCCTTGCAGAGATGGTGATTGTAGGAGTTGAGCTACATTATTTGACAGCTTCATCTCTTTGGGTCACTTCCCATCCTGTCAGATTAAGTCAGCAAGGATTTGGTTTGGTTTGGTAGGGGGAGTGGGCAGTTACCTGCAATAAACAGAAAGGGTGAGGTGATGCAGAGACGGCTTGTGTGCACTTGTCATTGTGGAGAACTCTGGAGAGTATACTGCCCTGGCTGACTTCCTGCCTCTCAGAAAGCCTCGTCATTTCCAGCAGACATCTTTCAGGGTGGTCCCTTAAGATGAATGCTTTGTGTTTAAGTTGAGAATTGCTGTGTTTTCCGTGTGAACCCACTCAGTCACCCCACCTCCTCCCTTAGCTCCACATCGACCTCCGAGCAGTGAGGGAGAGGCAGGCTCCCTGCCGCTGGCCAGGGGGCTGCATTTGCTACCAGGGGAAGTGAGCTCTGTGTGTGTGTTGGGCTCAGGTGGGCCCACCAGCATTCTGTTTGGGGTGGCAGATGTCTACACTGCGCAGTGGTCGGAAGAAGCAGCCAGCCAGTCCTGATGGTCATGCCTCACCCATCAATGAAGACATCCGCTCCAGTGGCCGGAACTCGCCCAGCGCTGCCAGCACTTCCAGCAATGACAGTAAATCAGAGACAGTGAAGAAATCGGCCAAGGTGAGGTGCTGGGGACAGGCAGCTGAGGTACCCGCTCCTACTGAAACCTGGGGTGGCTGGAATTGGTGTTCAGCTCCCTCAGACCTGGGCCACAGCTCCTTAGGGGAGCCTTTCTGGGACACCAGCATTGCCCTGGCCTGAGGGCTGCAGATTGGAGGCCTGGGGCCTAGAGAGAGGGCAAACACCTGAGCTTCCCACACTGACCTTTGGTCCTTCCCCTCTGGGAGCTGCTCTGCCTTGAGTTTCCCAAAGCCTCAGGGGCAGAGGGTGGAGGCAGTTGGAAAGCCTCCCTCCCCACAAAGCCAAGTTATTCCCATTCCCAGATACATGTTCCTTCCTGGCCCTACTTGCCCCATCCAGAGCATCCTTGCTTCTGGAGATGAGCTCAGAAGGAGGGAGCAGAGGGTCCTCGATCTGTCACCATCTCCTCACTGAGGCTGATGGGTTGTGCTCCCTTGGCCTGATGTTGCCCTGTGGGCTTCTCTGCTACAGAAGGTTAAGGAGGAAGCCTCATCACCTCTTAAGAGCACCAAGCGCCAGCGGGAGAAAGTAGCCTCGGACACAGAGGAGGTGGACAGGACCAACTCCAAGAAAACCAAGACCCAGGTGAGTTTTGCAGCTGAGCCCCATTGAATACAGCTGGCAGCTGTAATGCCTGTTGAGAAGCCCCAGCCCAGATCCTCACTGGGGAATGGAGTACCCTGTCTCCCAGGGAGGCAACTAGAGCTCATGGCCCAGGCCAGCGTGGGTCCCACCTTGCTGCTTCACCTGCACAAGTTTTACTATGTGCCTGGTGCTAGCAATGCTGGGCGGAGTGCCCCTGCTCTCGTGCAGCCTCCATCCTTCTCCTCTCTGGCTCTAGGAGATCAGCCGACCCAACTCGCCATCTGAAGGCGAAGGAGAGAGTTCAGACAGTCGCAGTGTCAATGATGAGGGCAGCAGTGACCCCAAAGACATCGACCAGGACAATCGCAGCACGTCCCCCAGCATCCCTAGCCCCCAGGACAACGAGAGTGACTCGGACTCCTCGGCTCAGCAGCAGATGCTGCAGGCCCAGCCCCCAGCCTTGCAGGCTCCCAATGGGGCAGCCCCAGCTCCCTCCACAGCCCCACCAGGAGCCACCCAGCTCTCCACTCCAGGGGCCACACCCTCTGCCCCTGCAGGCCCTCCCCAGGGCTCCCCATCAGCCTCCCAGCCTCCGAACCAGCCACAGGCTCCCGCGGCACCTGCTCCCCACACCCACATCCAGCAGGCACCCTCCCTGCACCCTCAGCGGCTGCCCTCACCACATCCTCCTTTGCAGCCTCTGACCGGGCCAGCTGGCCAGACCACAGCCCAGCCTCATGCCCAGCCCTCCCTGCACAGTCAGGGCCCACCTGGCCCTCACAGTTTGCAGGCTGGGCCCCTGCTACAGCATCCGGGCCCCCCTCAGTCCTTTGGTCTCCCTCCCCAGGCCTCCCAAGGCCAGGCTGCCCTAGGGGCCTCTCAGGCAGCAGCCCACCCTCACAGCACCCTGCAGCTCCCAGCCTCTCAGGCAGCGTTGCAGTCCCAGCAACCCCCACGTGAGCAGCCCCTGCCGCCGGCCCCCTTGGCCATGCCTCACATCAAGCCCCCACCCACCACGCCTATCCCCCAGCTGCCTGCACCACAGGCCCATAAGCACCCACCTCACCTCTCAGGGCCCTCCCCCTTCTCCATGAATGCCAACCTACCGCCCCCACCAGCACTGAAGCCCCTGAGCTCCCTGTCCACACATCACCCCCCCTCGGCCCACCCTCCACCTCTGCAGCTCATGCCACAGAGCCAGCCTTTGCCCTCCTCCCCCGCCCAGCCCCCTGTGCTGACCCAGAGCCAGAGCCTGCCCCCCACTGCTGCCACCCACCAACCAGCAGGCCTCCACCAGGTGGCCCCGCAGCCCCCATTTGCTCAGCACCCCTTTGTCCCTGGGGGCCCTCCTTCCATCACCCCTCCAGCCTGCTCCTCCACCTCCACTCCACCTGCAGGACCTGGCACCTCTGCCCAGCCATCTTGCTCTGCTGCTGTTTCTTCGGGGGGCAACATCCCTGGGGGCGCATCCTGCTCTCTCCCCACTGTCCAGATCAAGGAAGAGGCTCTGGATGAGGCCGAGGAGCCTGAGAGCCCTCCACCCCCACCGAGGAGCCCGTCCCCGGAGCCCACTGTGGTGGACACCCCCAGCCATGCCAGCCAGTCAGCCAGGTATGGCTCCCAGGAGTCTGGGCCTGGGCAGGTGGGTAGCGAGGGCGGGGCGTGTGGAGTTGGGTGGGAGTCTGGTGGGTTAGGCCTCAGCACAGGCCCCGAGTGAGAGGTGTGGTCATTCTCAGGTTCTACAAACATCTGGACCGGGGCTACAACTCGTGTGCACGGACAGACCTATACTTCATGCCTCTGGCGGGGTCCAAGCTGGCCAAGAAGAGGGAGGAGGCCATTGAGAAGGCCAAGCGGGAGGCTGAGCAGAAAGCCCGTGAGGAGCGGGAGCGTGAGAAGGAGAAGGAGAAGGAGCGTGAGCGGGAGCGGGAGCGTGAGCGGGAAGCTGAGCGTGCAGCTGTGAGTCCTGGTGTCAGGGACCGGGTGGGGGTGGCCCAGACCCTGTGTCCTGTGTGTGCAAGAGGAGTGCACTGGCTAGGCCTGGAGGGATGTGGCCGTCACCCCTGTGTTGGGTACCACCTGGTTTATCTTCATGGTAGCCAGAGGGTGGGGTGCTGTTTAAAGCCCTGATCCCTAAGCTTTTCTGAGGATGCCACACATCCCTGAGTCACTCCACCTGGCACCCGGTGGAGCCAGCTCTCAGCCTCACTCTTTCCCCAGATGCTCGCCACATGCCCCTTCACTTGACCCTTGCAGGGCCAGGGTAATCCATAGGCCGTCACTTGGTGTCAGCCTGCATTGGGGTGGGGGAGGACCTTCCACGAAAGGACCTGCCCTTCTTCAGTAATTTGAAGGAATCTACGAGAAACTAAAGGGAGGATCTGGGAGAAGAGCCAGGCACTCGAGGCTGTGACCAGGCCACATCAGTTCCTTCCATCAGCACTGCACGGTGGTGCCATCATAGGCTGGGTCACCAGGCACCTTCTTCTGGCATGAAGGAGAGGGACCCCTGGCCTGTTGGTGCCCAGTGCACGCTCTCTCATCCTCTCTGTCTTTTCCTCTCATTCGTTCTCTCTCTCTTTCTCACTCACAGACACACGCTCAGACACCCACACACGTTCTCTCTCAGATACATAAACCCGTCTAGGGGCAAGGGAGGCTGGCAGGCAAGTGAGACTGTCAAGGCAGGTGTGGCCCCAGCAGGGTCTGGACCATTTTCTTGTGCCTGGCCAGTCAGTCCTGGGCCAGGGCTTAGATTGGGAAGCAGGATGGGGGCGGGGCAGGGCAGGGCCTGCCTCCAGAAGGCAAGCACCAGGCTCAGGTCCCGGGCATTGTGGCATGCACCCCTCATGCCCTTCTCTCCTGCAGCAGAAGGCGTCCAGCTCAGCGCATGAAGGCCGCCTCAGCGACCCCCAGCTCAGTGGTCCTGGCCACATGCGGCCATCTTTTGAGCCCCCACCAACCACCATTGCCGCAGTGCCCCCGTACATCGGGCCTGACACGCCTGCCCTACGGACTCTGAGCGAGTATGCGCGACCCCACGTCATGTCGCCCACCAACCGTAATCACCCCTTCTACATGCCCCTCAACCCCACCGACCCCTTGCTGGCCTACCATATGCCTGGCCTCTACAACGTTGACCCCACCATCCGTGAGCGGGAGCTCCGGGAACGCGAGATCCGCGAGCGGGAGATCCGCGAGCGTGAGTTGCGGGAGAGGATGAAGCCGGGGTTTGAGGTGAAGCCCCCGGAGCTGGACCCCCTGCACCCAGCCACCAACCCCATGGAGCACTTCGCCCGGCACAGCGCCCTCACCATCCCCCCCACTGCTGGCCCCCATCCTTTTGCTTCATTCCACCCGGGCCTGAACCCTTTGGAGAGGGAAAGACTGGCCCTGGCGGGCCCCCAGCTGCGGCCTGAAATGAGCTACCCTGATAGACTGGCGGCCGAGCGAATCCACGCTGAGCGCATGGCCTCACTGACCAGCGACCCCCTGGCGCGTCTGCAGATGTTCAACGTGACGCCACACCACCACCAGCACTCCCACATCCACTCACACCTCCACCTACACCAGCAGGACCCCCTCCATCAAGGTGGGTGCCCCAGGTGGGGTCTGAGAAGGCAGTGTAGGTCACTCTGTGGTGAAGTAGGTCAGAGGTGGGGGAGGTCAGGGACCTGCCCAGAGATAGAGTTGCTCTCAAAGGGGCAGAGATAGTTTCCTAAACCATCACCCAACTCCTGGCAGATCTCAGAATAGTCATCATCCACCTAGGAATCATACTTCTGCTTGACTCACAGACAGCTTTTGTATCTGTAATTCCCCAGAGAGGTGCCTAACCCAGTGCCTTCAGCTGACAGTTCCCTGTGCCCAGCTGCACTCCTGTTTTCAGCTCAGGTTCTTGGCCCTGTGCCGGGCAGCCTAGGCCCTGTGGAGAAGCTTGTCAGGAGGCAAGGCCCAATCTGCAGGACAGGCCACAGAGAGCTTGACGACACCTGTGCTGGCCTTTTAAGTGCTGGTGTAATCAGCACATGCGCCTTAGTGCCATGTGAGGGCTGGCAGTCCGTCATCGGTTCTTTTACTCGCTCATCACTCAGCATGTTTATTGGGCACCCACAGCCTGCCCAGCACAGTTCTGGGTGCTGGAGATACAGCAATGAATAAAACAAGCAGAACCCCATCCAAATTCACCTTCCAGCTTCAGGAGACAGTAAATAGATGTCAGCTTGTGACCGGTGCTAAGTCTTCTGGAGGGAAATAAAGCCAGGGCGAGAACGTGGGGCGGCGGGGAGAGACTGTCAGGACAGCCTCCCCAAGAGGTGTAACACTTGAGCCAAGACTTGAAGGGCGAAGGGAGGAGTCTGCAGTCTAGGGAGAAAGCAGGAGAGAACAACTGCTAAGGGCCTGAGACAAGAGTGTGCTGGCCACCCAGGACCAGCGAGTGGGTGTGGCTGGACAGAACGCAGGGAGAGTGGGAGGAGACACCATTTCCAGGACTGATGGTGCCTGGAACAAAGATTAGGGCAGGAGGTGTTGAGGGAGAGGTGACATTCTGAAGGGAGAACTGCAAGGTTTGTTGCCAGCAGGCGGTGCCTGCAGAGCCGAGCCCCGTTCGACAGCATCGGATAGCAGCAGCCTGGCCCTGCCGGCCTCATACATTCTGTGGCTCCTTTGGGCTCTGGGGGTGAAAGTCTGGGGAGGCAACTCTGGGGGCGAAGGACACTGGCTGGGCGTGGACTTGGAACAGGTTACAGGCCAGGTGGGCAGGCAAGGTGCTCCACAACCAGCAAAGGAGCGTGGCCTGTAGGGGGCGCTCAGGAACGAGAGGAAGAAGTGCTAGCTTACGTGGTTTCCTTTCTGGAGCACTCATTGAAGGTGAGCCACAGGGACAGCCACTTTAGGTGAGAGTGGTTGGCAGCCAGATGGCACTTGCGGCCTTGGTGACCAGGAGCCCGCTCTGGTGAGAAAGAGCTCAGCAGGAATCCCACCCAGGGAGGTCCGAGTGCCGAGACCCCCCCCCCAGCTGGATACCACCTGCATCTGGGGTTTTGTCCTTCCGTAGGTTCTGCAGGCCCTGTTCACCCACTGGTTGACCCCCTGACTGCTGGCCCACACCTGGCTCGCTTCCCCTACCCCCCTGGCACCCTCCCCAACCCTCTGCTTGGACAGCCACCCCATGAGCACGAGATGCTTCGTCATCCAGTGTTTGGTAAGAATTCAGCTGCTGTACTGATGGGACGTGGGTGAGCTCTTGTTGTCTATGCGGGGTGGGCGGGGGGCGGGATCCAGTGTGGAGTTGGGGTAGTGGCCTGGTCTGTTGTCCTCGGCCATTCATTCGTGTACTCAAACACATGTTGACTGACACTCGCTAAATGCACAAGGCAGGCCCACTCCTGCCCTCAGAGAGCCACCATCTAGGGGGAGCTATGTAGATGACAAAGCAGCATGATGAGAGCCAGGGAGATGAGCACCTGAAATGAGGGAACCACAGAGGTGCCTGGTTTACATGAGGTTGCAGGGGAAAGGCCTGTCTTCACCTGAGGCCTGCAGGAGGGAGCCAGGCAGTCTGAGGGGTGGGGGAGTCCCGGCAGGAGGAACCGAGGGGCTCTGCTGTAATGGCCCTTTCTGCAGAGCCTGGGAAGACTGGCTGGACTCTCCACAGCCAGCGGTGCAGAGGCGATGGGCAGGCTCTTTCCTGACCTCTCTGGTCGTTGTGCCTGGGCTCTCCTGGCCTGCCATACCCCACCATTCCTGTAGCAGAGGCTGTTGTGTGTTTTGCAGGTACCCCCTACCCTCGAGACCTGCCAGGGGCCATCCCGCCCCCCATGTCAGCCGCCCACCAGCTGCAGGCCATGCATGCCCAGTCGGCCGAGCTGCAGAGACTGGCCATGGAGCAGCAGTGGCTGCACGGACACCCCCACATGCACGGCGGCCACCTACCAAGTCAGGAAGATTATTACAGGTGAGTCGTGTGGGCCGGGAGGCAGGGATCGTTCCCATGAGGCAGCGGCCCCATGTGTGCTGCTGGCCGGCCACTGGCCCAGCCTGATAACGGCCCCTACCCACGCTCGCCACGGTGCTCCTCCTGTAGCAGCCCAGAGGGTAGTGGCCACCCTGGAAGGAGGAGGGAGAGCTGGTCAGCTATACAGGAGGCCACTTAGGGCAGGGTTGGGACCCTTGAGCCGCCTTGCTCAGCTCCTGCCCAGGCCTGATGCTGAGTAGTCTTTCCTTTTCTTCCTTTCCAGTCGACTGAAGAAAGAAGGTGACAAGCAGTTATAAGTTATTTATTTGTTAACGCTGGCTGTGGAAACCCCAGTTCTTGGGGGGAGAAACAGGACTTTTTACATACAATAGGAGCTGCAAAAGCAAAAAGAATATCTTCTAAAAATTTCTTTATATATTTAAAAACCCCACAACTAAAAATGTATCAGCATCCTAGTGTTCGTTTGTAGAGGATTCCTCGAGACTGGTTTGAGTCTCCCTGCATGACAGTCCCCAGAAACTTAGTGAGTCCTGGACTGGACTGACCATTCAGAAACCTTCCCTGCAATCTTGGGGTTCAGCTTTAGTTTTGTCTTCTTTCCTTAGTTTCTTAGTAGGTGCTAGAATCCACTTCACACCCTTCACTGTGCGTGCAGACACACTCAGTTACGTGTGTTCCAAAACCCACAAGGTTCGCAGACGGGCGGCATATGAGTTTGGAATCCAAGAACTATAATTTTTAAGAAATCTTTTATTTTAGTACATTGTAGGAAATCTTCATAATTTGAGAAAGTTCTGCAGCATGGCTTTTTAAGTCTGTAAATAAATAATTTTAGAACAGCCTTTTTTTTTTTTCCTCCCACAAACTGCTATTCTGATCTATTTTTTTCCAGCCATGTCACTAATTGTGAATTCCTACCAGCTATTGACAGAATACAGAGTTGATTTTTTAATAAAAAGTTATATATAATTATCCCTTTAATTAAAGGGAGCAGATGGGCGTTACTAATTAAAAGTGAGCAGAAGCTTGGGACTAGATGCTGGTGCAGCAGTGAGCATCCAGGGGTTTGCAGGGACAGTGTTACAAACTGTGTCTTTGTTTGGCTGCTTTGACTTTTCACTTCTGTCTCTTCCTAGTGTGTGCTTTGCCTGTGGTGCAGACATCTGTTAGATTGAACCTTTCATTTTGCACTGGGTGTGCAAGAGTTAAATGTCCGTTTTCTTTCCCTGGTGTCACCATTGTTCTTTCTCTGCGGGCTAGAAAGCACATGTTTGTGTGTGTCTAGTTGTAGATTTCCTTATAGATTTCTATGCACACACATTTGATTGTTCTGGATGAATTCTCTTTCAATACTATGAAAATTTCATAAACATTCTAGTAAGTTCAAGAAAATGATTCCATACAAATAACTCAGTGTATGAAAGACCCAGGATGCCTGCTTGCCAAAGGAATCTGTTAGAAGTCTGCCTTTAGGGCAGTAGTAGGATGAATGCACATCATCATTTGGATGTTCTTGTGGTGAGGACACATGCCCAGTCATCCTTGGTACAGACCCAGACTGCTTTTGAGCAAGTTGAGACCTTGGAGTTGACATGGTGTGTTTGGCAGCTTGCATTTCTGCCCCAGAAGCAGGTGATCCACCTCAGACTTGGAAACCAGTTGAGTCCCAAGCTTCATCCTGGAAGTAGGAACAAGAGTCTTAGCTGCGAACGTGGAGTTGGAAAGCAGGCTTCCTCCACCTAGGAGGTTCTACTTTTTAGGGGGAAGGCCCTTGAGAGCACAGCTGTCCTAGCGAGAGAGAGCCTGCCTTTCCTTTGTACTTGCTAACATATGCACTTTCACCCAAACAGAGGGTGGGGAGATCTTGGGATGTCTGCATCGGTGGTCACTCTTTCTACCAGGACATGACCCTTCCGTTCCTTTTCTCTCAGACTCTTGAGGGCTGTTTCTGCCATTTTAAACAGTTGTATGTGGTGGTCGTTTCAAAGAATTGTTGGACCATGAGAGAGACACTTGTGGGTCAGTGGACGTGAGGTGAGCCCAGGGCCCCAGCTGCATGGGGAGCAGGAAGAAACCGGCAGGTATTGGCTCAAACCTGCATCACAGGCATTTCCGGTTTCTATTATCACCATGGTTGGTTTTAGTGGGATACAGAGAGGGTTGTTTTATCTGTTAAAAATGTTTGTAGTTATTTTCTTTCATTTTCTCTCATTCGATTTCTGCCTTAACTTAAGCTCCTTAAGGGAGGCAAGCTCAGATTAACCCTTGATCATCAAATTTCTGGCCTCACTGGCATGAAGGCAGTGGTTTTCCCTCTGGGTGTTGGTGGCAGCCATCGGGGAAGTTGGTTTTTCTGCCGCTCTGACTGAGGTGGCGCCACTCTGGAATAAGAGATTGTGTTCACATGGCTCCTGCAGCTCCCAGAACCCTGCGCCATCACCACCCACCTGCTCTCCATCTCTCTTGTTCTTTTTTGATAGAGCACATTGCCTACCATTCAGTTAAACCTTCATTACCTCCTCTCTCCAGCGTCCATTTTTCCAAAGAAGAGAGTGAAGTACTCTGCAGGCTGTACTTGAAAACTGTCTGAAGGTGTTTTCTTGTTAGGTTTTAGTTTTCTCCCCATATTCCAAGGTGAAGCACTTAGATTCTTCCATTTAAAAAATCCTAACCTGGACCCCTCCCCTGATCAACTGCAGTTGTTTAGGATGGCCCCAGACCCTCACGGTGTCTTTTCAGCGCTGACCGTTGGTTTCCTTTTGGGTTTTCCTTCCTTTTGTTTGAAGTTTTGGGTTGGCTTTTCTGTGTTTCGTATGTATCTTGTTCGATGTTGTCAAGGTTGGGCTTCGTGCTCCACTGCAGCAGCAGCAGAGCAGAGTGGACACTCTGGTTTGCTGCCTTTATATATATCTGAAGCTAAATGTATATATGAGTAGTTTGCCATGAGATGACACAGTGTAAACAGAGTAGACACCCAGAAATCGTGACTTCTGTGTTCTCTCCATTTGAGTATTTTGTAATTTTTTTGAAATATTTGTGGACATAAATAAAACCAAGCTACACTACAACACTTGGGTGTTGACCAGTAACTGTGTCTCATTCCTGCGAGTGGGTGGGAGATTCCTGTTGCCCCTACCCTGCGTCCCAGGGTGGGGAAGGGGCAGGGCATCGTCTGGTGTTCACTGCTGCTGGGGACTGCTGGTGCCAGCACACTGTTTGCCTCCCAAAGTGGCTTCCAGAAAAGTCCATGTCTCTGACATCTGGGAGGAAGGGTCTCAGAATGGGCCTAAGGACACCATCTCCTTCCCTCCCCAAGTCCCTGTCTCCCCCTGCCATTACCCCACACCTCTGTAATTGGTGGTGGACACCCTCCAAGGGTGTGGACATGGAGCTCCTTGCCTACTCTTACTCCTGGCTGTGCCTCCCGTCCTGTCCCTTTTGCTGCTCCCTGTGGCCTCCAGTGTCCCCCACCCCACCCGTGCTTAGGTTTGCCCTCCACGTTGAGCATGCATCCCAGCCCTTATTGGGGGTCTTACCCACTGAAGGTACAGCAGACTGCCTGTAAGGTGTGGATGTGGACACAAGGGGGCAGCATTCATCAGAATGGCTTCATGCAGTGGTTTCAGAAACTGTTCAGGGCCGTTTCCCAAAGCATCAAGAATGCCTGGAGCCGTCATCATCTGGGATACGGCCATAAGCTTCCAGATGTTTTGGGAGATGAGACAAGAGCATCCCAGGAGCTTAGTACTGGTAACCGGCTCTCAGGCAGGGTCTGCAGCCCATGAGTAAAGGCTTGGGAAACCAATCCATGGCATGAAAAAGCTTTGCCGAGCTGAGGGACCTGAGTGGCATACACAGAAGTGTTTCCTGTGTCCTCAACCAACAAGAGTCCTGCTTAGCACCTTCAGTGATAGGGGAGAACAAAGGGCCGCAGTAAGGTGTCATTCTGCAGACTAGCCGTGGAGGCACGTGGGCAGTTGTTCCAGGTCTGGGGTCAGAGGGTGGGATTGGGCTGATGGGGGTACAGAGGGAAAGGTGCATGGATGGGCTTCAGGGTGCTGTCTTTGCTGGCCTCTCATCGAGATGATACTGTTTATGAAACTTAAATTTTTAATGGGCCGTAAAATTTCAGGAAGGTTAAATGACAAGAATAATGTGAATGGATATGTAGATGTATGCTGCAGAAAAGGCCCTCAGAGCTGGACAAGTGGCAATAGTTTCTCAGGTTTGTGGCAACTGGCCTTTGTCACCCCCTTGCTGTGCACTGCTGAGGAACAGGGCCTGCCGTGGACGAGGCAGGCACTGAATGCACATCTGCTGGATGTGCTCGATTGATGGGGAGAATGGAGGGTGCTGTTACCTAGCAACTGTGGCCCCAACCAGGCCCTCACCTCTGTGCTACCCAGATGAACTGGCACCCATGTGCCCCTCTGCTTCTTATTCCTGTGAATAAAACCACCGCTTGGCATAGTGGCTCAGCAGACCCTTCTGCTGCAGCATGGGCAGAGAAAATGGCACTTTATGGGGATGTCAGCAGGACTGGGAGTGTAGCCAGGTGCATGGCTGCCATATTGACAAAGGCACCACCTGGGTAAATCGGAGTCACTTATCCAAAGGGTAGGATGACCAGCAGAGAGATGAGCAGTGACTTCCCACATAGATGTGGAGTTGCAATCTTCCAGATCCCCCAAATATCCACCGCAGAGGGGTACAATTGTGAATGCCAACAGCAGATGAGTAAGGGTCTCATCTGGAGCACTTCCACAAGGAAGCTAGAGGAGGCATGCAGGGACTTCTCACTAGACTTGGACCTTACAATATGCCCTCTGAACCACAGGGTGAGACCTGTGGCATCAACACTGACTTCAGCACTCTCAGCCTCTCCTGGCAGCCCGGTAGGGTCCAAGTCCTTTTCTGAGCTCGGAGTTCAGAACAGGACCAGTTACTCAGGCACCTGGAGTCAGGCTAACAGCCAAGACCACAGAAGTGTCTGTCTCTGCACTGGGCTGTGTCTTATGTACCTAGGGCTGCTGTAACACAAATACCACAAGTGGGAGGCTTGAAGAAACAAATTTATTATCTCACAGTTCTGGTGGCTAAAAATCCAAATCAGGGTCTTGGCTGTGTGGAATCCCTCCTTCTTGTTAGCCCTGGGCGTTGCTTGGTTCCTGGATGATCCTCACATGGCATCTGTCTTCCCCAGTATATGCCCCTGTCCTTGTCTGATCTGCTCTTTTTATAACTCAGAAGTGATTAGGACAAACCCTACACTGTTAAGGCCTCATAAACATAAAGAAAACCCTGTTTCCACACAGGATCACATAGACAGGTATAGGGGTTGGGATTTCAACACAAATTTTGGGGGTACATACAGGGGCAGATTAACCAGTAAGCAAGGCGCACACGGGCTTGTGTTTACTCACCTATCTGTAGTGCACAGTTGGGGGGCGGGAGCTCCAGGTTCCACCATGGATGGGGCCCATGACCCCTTCTGGGTCCCAGCAGCCTCCTGCTGCAGCCCCTGCCCATCCCCCACCACAGGCTTGGTGCTGGGACTGTCCTGCACTCGCTGGGTTCTCCGTTACGCATGGCATCGTCAGTCATATTGGAGGTCTCCATGCCCGATTGTCCTCTCCCAGGGCTCCCGCTGGGTTCCCAGCTGCCCCAGGAGCTCCAGCAGTTCTGGGCCACGGTTCTCTCCTCCCCGCCCCACGGTGGCTTCTTCAGTAGGAGTCGGCCAGGAGCAGCTCCTGAGTCCTTGTAATTGTGGTTTCCTTTTGGCTTATCAGGGACACAGGCTGCAGAAGCTGCCCCTGTGTCCCCAAAGCCAGCTCTGTGTGTACTGTCTGCGTGGGCCTCCTGGCTCCCCCTGCCCTGGATACCTCATTACGAGATCAGGTTCTAGGATGGGGAAGGCACTTAAATGTTTGTTGAATGGATGAGGGAATGGTGGAGCCCCACAGAGGGAGGCTCCCTGGTGACACAGTGCAGACATGCTGTAGAGTCATAGGCGTGAATTACCAGATAGTGAGGGCCTTTTAACCCAATCCAGATTGTGTCAGAAAGCACTTCCTGGGGAGCCTGACGCCCTCTGTGTGGCATAAGGTGACCTCTCTGTCCTTAAGTCTCTCCCCTCATCTTGGTGCTCTCCGCCCCCCACCCCCAGCTGTGTTTGCCACTTGGCTGTAGTCTCTCAAGACGCTAGTGCCCCTCTGCCTTCGGTCTGGTTTAAGCCATTCTTAGAAGTTTTGGGGGAAATCAGCTTTATAGCGTGGCCTCTGGTAAACAGCTGAGGTGTGAATTCCTGGTGTGGTGAATTAGATTTAAAATAGAACGTTAAGATACTTCTTAGACTTATTTGGCCCCAGGAGGATCCTGAAGCTGTTGAACTGTTTAGGGACCAGTTTTCTATGAGCCTGATCACCGGTTGCCACTCATAATCTCCTCCTCTCTCCTTATTCATTGAAAGCGCCGTACTGCTGTTCAGGTGGCAAAATGGATTTGAAACACCCTGCTCTCCTGATCCTGGCCACTAGGTGGCAGTGGTTACAAAGACGGACAAGGCCCAGATACCCTCCCTCTGGGCCGCCAGGCAACTGGGACAAGTCAGAGTCCCCTCAGCTGACCCAGGGGAGAAGACCTGTGCCTATGACGATGAGTATTTTATAAAAGGCCTGACGGGAGACATTTTGTGGGGGGCAAAGATTGCAGCAAGAGCCGGGGTGTGGAGGTGGCAGTGAAAAGAAGGTGGGAGCTGGAGGCCACAGGAGTCCCAATAGCCTGAGTGATGGATATGCTAGGGAGGCGAAGCCCAGAGGCTGTGGGTAGGTGGGCAGGGCCCCGGCGCAGGTGTTACTAGAAGGGCAAAGACTTTGAGGACAAGGCATTTGTTTTGTTCTCTGATGTATCCCCAGCGCCTGGGACATATACAGCAGGTGCTCAGTAAATGTTTGTTGAGTGGATTCTCGGCAGTGGGTGATTTCTAAGAACCATAGCCCCTGGGAGAGTTCCCCCTGAGCAGCTATGATGGGCCCGCTGAGGCCCTCATGTGCCCTTAATCCCGACATCTGCTACTTCCCTCTCCAAGTCTCCCCGGGAGGAGCTCTCAGAACCTGCTCACAGCCAGCAATGGAGACAGACCACCGTGTGGACTTGGCAAACATGACCTAAGTGCAGGAAAAAACTGAGAGCTCCTGACTTTGCTCTTTGGGCCCAGGCAGCTGCCGGTTCTGGCATATTCGGGGGAAATGACCTCCATTGCGTTGGAGAAAACAGCCAAATGGAAAGGACACTCCCCCCACCCAGTTCCCAGCATCCCAAGGGTGGCCCCGTGTTAGGCCTGCAGCCTCAGAAGATAGAAACAACCTGATGAGGGCTGTGATCTTGTGATAGGTTCCTTCTGCCCCACCTCCAGCATCCTTCCTAAACTCTCTGGACAGTGCTCAGAGGTAGTTGGGTGTGTTTGTGTTCACGGAGCACCAAGGGGTGATTTTTAAGTCTGCTGAGGGGAACAGTCAGGAGTGGCTTCAGAATTTGGCAGCACAGTTCTTGTTTTGTTTTGAGCAGTCTGAGAGGGTGTCTCATGGCCACTGGACCACAAGCAAGAGGCTTTCCCTGCCTCTGCTCCTCTGAATGGAATGAGAAGCCCCCTCAGAGCTGAGCTCCCAGCGAGGCCCTGGCAGCCATGTAGGTGGCACAGTGGCCACAAGATGGGAGCAGAGGCTATCTGCCGTCAAGGGCCCAGTGGGCTTTAACATTAGCTCTGAAAATATTTAACATGGTGAGGTCTGGAGTCAGATGCCCCAGGTTCAAATCCCAGCCCTGCCACTTAGATCTATATGACCCAGACCAGGTACTTGTGTCTTCTCAGGGTCCAGATATGTAACCGGGTGGTATTCCACCTTCCTAGGGTGATCAAAAGGAGCCCTGGTAGCACAATGGTTAAGCATTCAGCTGCTAACCAAAAGGTCAGCAGTTCGAATCCGTCAACTGCTTCGTGGAAGAAAAAACCTGGCAATCTGCTCCCATAAAGTTAACAGCCTAGGAGACTGTATGGGGCAGTTCTGCTCC